AAAAATGTACCTAGCGCCATGTATGATGCATGAAACAGATACAAAATATCCCTAGATCTATTGATGTGATGCATGTATGTAAGTGAAGCATAATGTGAGGTAAGGTGTGTAAAAACGAATGCATGTATGACATTCAGAATATAGAAAGAATAAATAAACACACCCTAAGGGTACCCTCCAGGCAAGGTACCCGCACAGAAAAGCATTCAAACGGTGCCCACTAGCACAAATAGGTGGCCTACTCTACAGGCCTAAATGACCCTAATGGTCTCTAGGGCTCACAGAAGGGGGCAAGCTTTGTCCTATAGGGTCAAAGCTTCGTTAGTGCACTAGACTATGACTGACTACCTAAACATGCTAGAATACCTATTAACAATATGTGTGTGAAGTGTAGCAGTTCGATACCTAATTAAGAGTTTAAGCTGCAGAAATTATACCTGATTATGACGCTGCCACTTAAAAGCTCCCAAGCAAGCAACTCAACTAACTCACCCATGCAGGATACGAGTACCTTGCAAGATAAAAATAGGAAGAGAAATAAAGAGTGAGCGTAGATGCCATTCGAAAAGGAAATATAGTTAAGCAAGAATAAACTTAAAACAATTATGATTTATAATTTTGAAAAAAAAAATCTAAAGCATATGGAAAGAGAGCATGTACAAGTGAATGTAGCAAACGAGTAATAATAATAGAATATAGAATTCCACATGTTTGAATTAATGCATATGAAAGTTTGCTAACATGAGAAAGAAAGAAAAAATAAATAAAAAATCATATGTGAAACATGTGACAATTTCTAAACATAAAACCTACACCCAAATATGAGATCAACGTATCTAAACCTATGACCAAAAATGTATAATGAGTAAAGTTTTATAATGTAACTATAGGCCTCTACCTTCGCATGATGTCGAGTATGTAAGTGAATTTTAAACTCAAGAAACTTCACATAAGCATTCACTAATGGATAACACATCCAATATGTGATTAGTCGAAACATACAAATTTAAGATTAACATGTTATAATGATCTTGCATGTAAACAGGACATAAGAAATTAAAAGAAATCAATATATCTTAACATGAATGCTCGCGCAATTTGAATCAATTAACAAAAGAAATATTTACACGACTTCGATTTTAGAAGAGATTTATTGCACTTAAAATGAACTTTATGAGGAGACTTTCGCAATAACATAAGTCTTGTATACAATATTTCTAGATTTCTAAAATGAATGAAATAAATCATATTCAGAATCATTTTTTAAAATATTTAAAGGTGTATTACCAATTACAAATTAATTATATATTAAAAGGAATATCAATCATAGATTTTATATTAATAAATTCATTTACAAGATGCATGAGGAGGCTCTTTTAAAAAAATCATACCAGCCAATTCAATCTAATAAGACTAGTTGATTATTGATTTGATCTCTCGACTTTATTTATTAACAAAAAAAAGTATGGTAAAATACTAAGGGTGTGTATACTTACATCAATTATTATAATCGATTCTCAAATAAAGGAAATCAATTTAAAAGATAAAATTCATCCAATATACGATAAGGCATACCCTTTAAAGAGAAATGTAATTAAGCTATAATTGATTTAAGGTGATCTTGGATTTGTAATTTTAAAAAATTATCTCAGGTATGTAAGAAGAGAACATGAGTAAGTAAATGACATGAGCCAGTGACCATAATATGCGATAATATGTGTATGTTGAGATTGACATGTGGAATGATACATGTGTAGAATATTATGAATTAATTTGAAGATACCCATATTAAAATTATCATTTATAAAGACTAAAGCTAGGGTGCTCAATCAAGATCATTTTTATTGATTACAAAGCTATGTATGATGGGTTGGATTTAGAAAATCAATGAATGAAATTTTTCGATAATATATAAATGGCTAGAAGTTGTGGTTTGGAAAATCACAAGTGCATAGTGAATAGTAAGCGCATGAAAATTATCTTACTTTTAGTGCAAATATAATAAATAAATAAAAATAAAGAAAAAAAAAGTTATAAGTTCAATTTATAAAATTGATGAACAAAATATGATGCAAGCATTACGAACCAAAACATACCTATAATTTTTAATATGAAATTCTAATATGAGCTCGTCGATCCAATCAAAATAATGTGCAACATAAAGATTAAATGTCATATGTATATGTGTATATAGAAGAATGTACATCATAAAGAACTATTCTCTCTCTTTTTTTAGTAATAATTAAATAAAATTCATATAATAATAATAATAATAATAGCAATACACATGTATATATAGTTGAGATACGATGCTTAGGCGATTACATGAAGCAAACCTGAATAAGGGTCATACTGTAAAATCACATATTGTTTATTCAAATTTAAAACAGAAGGTTATCTAAACTCAAAAGAGATGTATCATCGACATTATCATGGGTAAACTCTTTTAAAACTATTTTATGATAATGACAAAGTTTTTCACGTCTCAAAACTCAAACGATGAGTATAATGGTGTCTTTACTATTACAATAATTTACTCGAGAAAATACTATTTGTATTTAAGTATATA